TTCCCTAGGCAAAACCTTCAGTGCTTTCAGACTCTGTCTTCTAAATTCATTTAGTGGTAATTCTGTTAGATTTCACAGTGGATTATTTTCAGTGATTATCAAGTAACACATATCCTTGATTAGTACCAAAAAGATATATGCTGAAAGATATATGCTGTCCAGGATATAAAAGAAATACAACAACACTTGCTAGAGTGGATGGCAAGGAGGAAGGTGAATGGGGCAATGTTAATCAACAGATACAAAGTACATTGAGGAGACAAGATCAGATGTTCTATTGCAGAGCAGGGTGAATATAACAATTAAGCACTTTATATTTCAAAAAAACTTACAAGAGAAGATATTAAATGTACATACCACAAGAAATTCTAAACATTTGAGGTGATGAATATGCTAATTACCCTGTTTGGATCATTCCACAATGTATACATATATTGAAATATAATGCTGTAATACACATAAATATGTATGTAAAATATAGTTTATATTTATATAATTATATTTATCAATTAAAGTAAAAATATTTTAAAATAATGATAAAAGAATTAAGAATACTCTCATAGTTTTTTTCTTAAATTGTGAGCTTAATTCTCTCCATTTGGGGAAATATAAAGTTCCATATAATATCCTGTTAGAAATGTAAAAGAAGAAATAAATGTGAATGCAATGTTTACAGACACAGAAAATAACTACAAATGAAACCATGGTGCTATTTTTAATATTTATCAATTTTTGATTAATCAAATCAATAAGACTAAGTTAGAATAATAAAGATCTAAATATGACTGAATGGGGAACATACTTCTCTGCATTTAAAGCCAGACTTACTGACAGAGAAGTTTTCCCCATTCCCTCAACATGTCTGGGATTGTCTAGCCAGACACTTCCTCTCAAGCATTTCAGGAATTTTCTTTGTTCTCAAACAGTTTTGTTACCTCTACCTATCCACCAAATGTAAATGAGGTGTAACTCACCAATGAATTTGCTGAGCCCATATGAATTGTACTCTTTGTAACCAATGAATAAAAAAAGCAAAATACTCAATGCCTGCAAGCCTGCTGCCCTGCTCTGGAGAGTAGGACCTGGCCTGCTCAATCCCAAGCGGGGGGAGTGGTCTATCTCTTTGTGAAGTCCCAAACTGACCCACTGGAGATAAAAATAAAACTGTATACTTTGCCTCCAAAACTTCTGGGGGCATCTTCCATTCTCCTGGAGTACCTGTGATGAGCTGTAGACACTAGAGCTATATATTCTGGCTGTCACTTTGCCACAACATGACAATTAATACTATTGATTTCAGAGTAATCTGTTGACTATAATAACAGAGAAACTAAAATTATACTTTATATTAGTGCTCATAGGTTAATTGATTCACCAAGTATTTATGTGAGCTCCATTTAATATTTTGGTGAAATAAAACTGAAACTTAGCAACCAGCAGGTAACAAAAGACCAATAAAAACTACAACTATATGAAAAAAATTTTAGAAAGTAATCCTAAATTAGATTTACATCAAATTAAGAATCAATACTCCAATCACAGAAAAATTGAAATTAGTGATTTTCTTCTTGGTCCAAAGAGTTAATACTTCCATTAAGTCTTTGGCTATTACACTTAAAAGAAAACATAAAGGGTAAAAGTCAGCAAACTTTGGCCTATAAGAGAAATCTGATCCATTATATGTTTTTGTAAACAAAGGTTTATTGGAAAAACCCCATATCCATTTAGCTAAGCATTTCTCATGTCTAGTTTCAAGGCAATAGCAATAGAATAGTTATGGAAGAGAGTGTTGCCAGGAAATCTCTAAAATCTGTCCCATATAGAATACTACTGAGAATACAATTAAAATTAAATTTAAAAGCTAAAAGCATATCCAAAGTAAGATAAACATTTTTGTGGGCTATAAATATAAAAATGTATTAGCTTAAATGTTAAAACAATAAGAATGATTATAACTACTCATCAGATACAATAAATGACAGAAGGCAATTGAATGGTAAATTTAAAATGCTAAAAGAAGAAAAAAAATTCAACAGAGTTCATTTGACCCATTAATTCCATTTCTAGGTAGATACTAAAGAGAAATGAAAATGTATACACATATGCAAACCTGAAAAGCAATGTTCTTAGAATAATAATTCACAAAAGTGAAAATATAGAAACAACACAAATGCCCACCCACCAAGGAATGGATTAAAAAATGTAGTATGCCCATACACTAGGAGTATTGGGCTATAAAGATGAATGAAATACTGAAAAATTCTACAAAAGCCTGAATATTGAAAACATTATATTAAGTGAAAGAAGCTTTACACAAAGTGTCACATATTGTATGATTCAATTTATATGAAATGTCTAGAATAGGCAAAACTGAAGAGAAAGTAGATTACTGGTCGCCAGGCTGACGGGGTGATAGGAGAATGGAGATTACGAATGAGTGTGGGATTTCTTTCTGGACTCATGGATATATTCTGGAATTGATAATTGTTGTACTTGCATGAATTTCTTCATGTGTTAAAAGCCACTGAACTATATACTTCTAAAAGATAAATTCTAAGCTTGTGAGTCATATTTCAATAAAGGTGTTATCAAAAACTGAGTGTGGGCATTTTGGTTTTAATTTTTTTAAAACTTTAGAAAGAGCATTGCTCACACACTAATAATAATGATAAGCTAATTTAGTTTCAAAGACATCTGTTTCTGAGTCTTTCAGAAACCCAAGTTAACAAGGCAACCAACCATGTAAATAAAATCGAAGAATGACAAGCTCCATCAAAAAGAGTTGAGACACAGGACATATTTCACTTTGAAGGAGCATAGGAAAAGTAGGTAGCCAACATAGTCGCAGGCAAGAAGAAATCAGTTCTTAAATACCAATTCTGGACCATTAAGTCACTAGAACAACTGAGATCCCTGAACACAAGGGTAATTACATAGCAGAGTTGAGTAAATTTGTCATGTTCTCCTTTACAAACTTTTATATTGTCTCAATATGTCACAATGAACTTTTTTTTTTATTATAAAGTAACTACAGTGGACAGGATTAATTTGTTGTAGGGGTAGTATATAAATCCACCATAATTATGATCAAGTAATTCATAGAAAATGAAGCTGAATGACACACAAATGTAAAAATAGTGCATAACTTCTCTATTTGTGAAGGGAATGAAAAACACACAAAGAATGAAATATTATATCATATCCATATTTTGTATAAA